CAACAAAACAGTGACGAAGCACACACATACAAGAGAGAAATACACGCCTAATCCTTAAACACACCACTTACATACATTCACGTATACATCCGCAAACATTTGACAATAGGGCCCAACGAGCACATCCACAGACACAGTTTCCTTCTCTTGCACACACGCATCGTAGGGGTGGTGAGTGCGTGCACGAACGTCGCTCAGGGGTCGTTGTGCGGGCAGGCACTCGGACACACGTGTGTGGACAAAGATGAATGAACCAAAGTAAGGAAAACAGAAGGCGAGGTACGACCTTAAAGGAGTAAAAGCAATCACAGAAGAGACAAGGAAACACTTTATATGCCTAAAGATAGGAAAACAATGTAAGGCTCGCTTCGTGATTATTATATAAAGAAAAGAAACATTTTCTCTATCATCCCGACTTATTCTTTTGCCATCTATGCGTTCATGCGTGTCTGCGCGTGCGCACACGCATGCGCACACGCATGCGCACACGCGTTTCTTTCTGTTGTCTCTCTTTGTGTTGAATCTTTGCTCAAATTCAGATCCACAAGCAGAGTAGAATTTCTTTAATTTGTTTGCATCTTTCTTCTTTTTCTTTCTATTTTTTTTTATTCTTCACTTTTCTTCTTTATTTCCTCCATATTCTTCTTGCTTTCCTTTTTCTTCCTTTCTATTTTTTTTTTTTACTAATATTCACCCGATACAAGGCTTAAACGTCACTCAAGGTAGAGGTTTTGATTGGTTTGTTTTACGGCATATCAATCTCAATGGGTTATTTAATGCCGACATTTTTAGGATAGGTTCGTATGAATGGAATATGTATTCTTTGTAAGAAATCAGTTTGTAGGAGATCGGGTTTCATTGATGTATTTTTGAAAAAAAAAAAAGGGGGTTTTGTCGGGAGCCAAATCTAATGCCGGTAATATTTCTTTTCCAAAAATGTATTGCTGGTATTTTTACTATAAAAAAGACAATTTTTACACTTTCATTGCGTTTTGAGCCCAGTTTTGGGGTTAACTATTTGCCCATAGCTGGTAACCTAACAGGTGTTACCACCCCGGGTCAGGCTGGACCTGGGAATAACAGCAATTAAGAGGTAATTCAACGCTTCTCAAAACCTCCTGATCAGAGGTCTTGCTGCCGGATGTAGTTTATCGTCATACCGAGGTTAACAAGGTAGAGGGTTACTGTGTGGAGTTGTAAAGGGTATTTCATTAAGATGGATCAAAGTCAGCAGTAAATAAATCGGTGTGTGGTAACTACCACCACCATTACATACACACAGTACATAGAAATCATGGGACAAGCATTCATTAGTTGATCTCCTCAAAACTAGCTCGCTGAATGGTCGATTCCGACCAATCAGATATCCTGCACGCGAGGAATGAAATTTCCCGCTCACTAAGGTTTGATCCAGTCACGTGATACACCATATTATATAAACAAAACACGTGTAATCTCTCTCTCTCTCTCTTCGTTTTCTCATTCATCTTTCTCCTTGCTGCCAAGATGTAATCTTCAAGAGCTTCCGTCTTGACTATGCAGTCGGACGTTAAAGAATATTACAACATCCACCCAAGTACAACTCTTAACTCTTCTGAACTCTTACCAACTTTATCCAATACACAATTCCTTACATGCAACAGGAACTTTATTTTTCTAAACTACAGTTTAATAATTACTTCATCTTTATGAGTTCAGGTATAAATATGTGTAGCATCACCCCTTACAAGTGTTAGTAGTGAAAATTTATTTATTTCTCACTTGGATCATGTTATTTAAGCCATGGCAATTATGTGTGAAAAATAATATCACCCAAATGTCCGTCAAGGCTTCGGTGGCACACCTCCATTCGATGGTCAAAATTTTTGATGACGTCTCTGCATAGTTGCTCCTCGATCTCACCAATATGCTTTATTATCTCATTCTTCAGCTGTTGAATTGTTGTTGGCTTGTTGGCATAGACCTTGCTTTTGAGATGACCTCCAAAGGAAGAAATCTAAAGGCGTCAAGTCGCACGATCGTGGTGGCCAATTGATATCGCTGTTTCGAGAGATGATGCAACCTGGGAACTTCTCATTGTATTTCTATTTGAACGTCCATTTTCATGATAGGCTTCGATAACTTTAACACGTTGTTTGATTGTTAATCTTTCCATGGTTGAAATTAGAAAGACTTGAGTTGCTAATCTGAAAAAAAAATTAAAAAAAAATCATTAGACGCTTAAACTTAATTCACATTTAAAATCGGTCCAAGTTATTGGAACACCCTTTATTAGCGTAAGAAAGGGCAAGATAACAGAAAAGATAGACAGTTAATTCAAGACTTGAAGAGGTCAACATTTAATTAGTGAATACATTTTTCTTAGTTCAGGAGGAGACGTTAGGAGTATAGAGTTGAAGTAAACTTTAGAAGGGAACGGAAACCTAATCCTAAAAAGGGAAAAAGCGATGAACATCGACTACTATTCAAAAGAACGGAGAGGAGTGTGAACCGGACGATAGTCAAACTTATTTACTATTATTTTTTGTTGCTTTTTCTTTTTTTCTTCTCCCGTTTAGATTCATTCATTCTTCATTCAATTATTTATTTATTCCATATTCTTTTTTCCTTTGCGCTCTTTTCTCTTTCTTTTTCTTTCTTTTTCTTTCTTTTCTTCACATTCCTTTCTCTTCTTTTTCTAAAGTCTTTCTTTTTTTTTGTTCGTTTTAGCATTTCTTTCGTGTTTTCCTTTTTTATTCGTTTCATTTCTTTACAATTTTTCTTTCTCTCCGTGGAAAGTACAACCATAATAGCGTCATCCACATGTAAAAATACGGCTAAAAATAAGGGAAGCGTTAATAATAAAGAAAAAAAAAAAGACAACGCTCAATAATACCAACTATGAACACGGCCACAACGTACTGACCGTGTTTTAAAAAAAAAACCATCCCTATATAGATACACATATATAAAAATCTATATATTCAGTTAAAAAAAAAACATCTTTGATAATGACTAAAAAAATAGCCGAAACTTTTTACACACTTTATGTCTGTAAAAGAAAACACTTGTACGAATGGAAAAAAATATGAATATAAAGCTTAATCGAAGTACCTTGTTAATCGATAAGAGGGATTGCTGCCAATACACACGCAGGCACACACACATACATATATCTTATATATAAAGTACAGTGTGTGTCTGTGTGTGTGTGTGTTTCCAAGCAACTCCACTTTCCCACTGGTACGATTTCAATGATTCTTAGCTCACTCAAAAACCGTAGCAAAGTTAGGCTCAGCGAACGATTTTCGTTGAGCTCAGATTCAGGTTGCCAGATTATGCGAGGTTAAAATATATATTAATATATTATATTCCATAATATACGTTTTACTTAACTAGCTATTATGTTTCTCTAACTCTTCAAACATTGAATGTAGAACTAATTCGAATTTCAATTTTCCCATCTTTACACTATATTAATTCTATCTTATAAATTGTCACATGTTCTATCACCCATGTAATAACAATAAATGTTTGTACGTTTATGTTTGTATGTTTATGTGCTGTCTTTAAAGTAAATGGCAGCAGAAGAATTATCGTTGAACTTTTAAAAGGTAATCTTAAACATTGATTCAATACTTAAATGTAGAGATCGATTTTGAGTTCTTCTATAGTTTATTGATGCCTATCACATCTACTCCTCCCTAGCTATTGTGATAATGGCCAAACCAAGAATCCGCCACAGAAGTTTGCTTAAATGCCTTCAATAGGACGACTTTTAAGCTAGTGTATATATATATATATATATATATATATATATATAAGCATAAAAAATGCCTTAAAATAATTGTCGGACTTTGTTCATTTCATGTGTGACGTCATTTGTTTGCATTTGGATACGCATCGAGCAGATATGAATGTACGAGAGATAATCATGTAAAATTGTAGTTTAAAAACAGTAAAATCGACCTTGTTGACCGAAGGGCTCCTCTGTGGCTAAATCAGTAAAGCAAGTCTTGGTTTCTTACGGGATACAGGTTCGATCCCTGTCGGCGGGTGCATATTTCTTATGAATATTTCTCGGACATTCTGCCCGGTAAATGTCGTTAATACTGTTTATTATAAACTGATCATTTACTTAAATATTTGCATCTATAAAAAGATCGTATAAACATAAAAAAATGTCTTAATATATATATATATTTTGAACAATAAGAAAATTAAAAATTAAAAAATTAAAATCATTAGACACACTGGGTTGTAGATTAATATTCTTTCGTTTTTTTATTATTATTATTATTATTATTCCATTTAGATTCCTCGACTAGTTTCGACCGAAATGGCCATCATCGGGAGGCGAAATATTTCTGCTTGCTGTTGGCAAGGAACTACAGATATATATATATAGATATATAGATATATATATATATATATGTCTTAAAATATAAATATATATATATATATATATATATATATATATATATATATATATATATATATATATAAGTGAACGTTGAAGTCAATACTGAGAGACGATAGACTGCTTCATGCTAGACACTATCATCAGGCCTCATGTGCTGGGTCTTTTCTCGTCTATTTATATATACGGGTGAGTGGTGCATTGTGGGTAGTCCATTCTAATGGTTATTTTGGCGGGAGTGGTTTATTTATTCACTTATTTATTTATTTATTTGGATTAATTTATTTTGCTTGTTTTTTTTTTTTATTTTTTTCGGTTTTCGATGTTTTAGTAAAGTAGAAAAAAAATTTTTTGAGATAATCAATCGCAATGGATAAATATAGTAAAATAACAAATTAACAAACCAGTCCGTCAAAATAACAATTAGAACAGACTAAAATCCAAAAAATTGGACGAAAAAATAGCTTTGATTACCTTCCCAGACCAAAACAAACTATCAAATAAACGATCAAAACTAATCTCAAAATTTATTTTTATTACTATTACTACCCTTAGTAGTTTATGAAAAGCCAGAAAATAGTTTAAGATTTTAAGAAATTTT